TTGGCCCTCCTCCTCTGCCCTCTGCCCTCTCCCCTCTGCCCTCTCCTTGTCCTCCACCCTTGGGAGCGCCCACTCTCGGACGTGGGGAAGTGGCACTGGGCAGCCTGACGGCACCCAAAATTTGTCCTGAATGAAGGAAATACTTTAGGGATTTCAAATGACTTCCTTCCTGTACGGTGGGTAGGAGGCCAGCTCAGAGCAGGCAACCCCCAGTGCTCAGTCTAAGCAACGAGCCGTTCTGATCCAGCATTCTTAGTGAGACTGGCTCTAGTGGAGGCCGTGGGCCATGGTCCTTCCAGCTCAGCATGGCCATCTTCGTCCTGCCCTGGCTGCTGCACAGCCACTCTTGCTGTCTGTGTCCCCACCCCAGCCCGGCTCCCTAGAGGTCCTGTGTTCTCACGGTGCTTGGCATGGAGGGCATTAGGGTGTGGGTGGACTTTGGCACAGATTCTAGCCTTGGCCCTGCCCCTGAGACGTGGGTCGAGTTCCCTTAACTCCTCAGCCCCACGATGCTATTCTGTGAGCTGAGGGTGACGGTGGCCTGGGAGTACCTGGTGCATAGAGGCTCCGTGTGTGCTGAGCGTTGCCCTCCCATCTTGCTTCCTGCTGCCCTGTCACCACCCCCGGGGCTTTTCCTGGCTTGCCCTCCCTTCTTCTGCCTTTCCCAGCCTTGGCCTGTGTTCACTGTGGAAATGCGGCCTCTGGTAGGTGCTTGGGGTACGGATAGACACACTTGGCCGAGGGGCTTGGGCTGCAGGGTCATCGATGTCCTCTGGCTCCGTTTCCCTTGACATGTGGGTGGACTTGAGTGAGAAACATTTGTTGTGCAAGAGCCATTATGCACTTACTTTGCTAGCAGGAGTCTGAAGCAGAAGGAAGGGTGTTACAGTGGGAGGTAGCAGGGGCATGGGGTCAGTTCACCACGCGAGCAAGAGAGAGCTCCGACCAGATGCGACTTAAGGGACACCCAGGGAAAGGCCTCAGCACAAGCTCGACTTGGGCACAAAGGCAGTTTTCCGGCATGGTGCAGAGAATGGTCGCTGGCAAGCTGCACCAGTGATTGTGCGGAATCACTGTCACTCACTGTCACCCTCGCTGGCTCACCTAGTGACCGGCATTGCCGTGTGAGACCATGTTAGGGCCCACTTCACTTTGAGAAGGAGAAACGCTAAATTCCCTCATTCTGGAGATCTCAACGTTCAGGTGCAGACTCAGGTCGAAGGCTCAAAGCCAGGGTAGAACACACCTGCTCCCTGTCAGACAGTCAGAGCTTCCTGTCTGTGGTATCTGCTGCCCTGTCCACACTTGGCCTGTATCCCGGTGACAGTATCAGGAGGGATGGTAAACTTCAAGCCTGCGTCTTTCCAAGGAGTGGCTGCAAGCTGGAGATGCCAGGAGCGCCCTTGACTCCCCGTCCCGCTCACCAACCTGCAGGACAAACAGAAACCGGGCAGCTCTGCTGACTGAGGCAGAAATACCACACCCAAACCTCCAACAGCAGAGACCTGGGGGCCCACCCGATGGCCGTAGCAGCCCATGTCCCCCGGCACCTGCTGTATTTAAGCGATATTCCAGCGGCTCCATGCTGAGTTAACCCACTTAATGCTTAGCCCAGTCCCTGGGTGGGTGCCGCCCCAGCCAAGGTGCAGGCAGGACCTGACCTAAGGTAGGGAGTGACGTAGCAAGCCTCTATTCAGACCACAGAGTTCAATAAAGGCTTATTTTGTGGGGACTGAGAATTGGACCCAGGGGCCCTTAGCCTCTGAGTCACATCTCTAGCCCTTTTTGTATGTTTCATTTAGAGACAGGATCTTGCTAAGTTGCCTAGAGCCTCACTAAATTGCTGAGGCTGGTGTTGAACTCAACAGTCCTCCTGCCTTAGCCTCCCCAGCCCTAGCCACTGGGATTACAGGTGTGGCCACCACGCCTGGCTCAGAAAATGTTTAGACAGCGGGAAAAAAAAGGAGTGCATCAAGAGAGGAAGGAGAGGGGGATGGGAGGAGGAGGAGGAGGATGAGAAACCAAGGACTGTTGGGCTCTCTGCATGTGTATGTGCCCATGTTTTAAAATTTGGAAAAGAATGGGAACATAGAAGCCACAAGGCATCACACCCAATGCCTCCTGTTTTTAAACGCCCCCACAGGAAGTGACCTGCCCTGTTCTGTGGCAGCTTCCCCCCAGAGGCGAGCCACCAGGAGCTTGCTGTATTCACCCCCCTGTTGCATGTGCGTATGTGTGTGTGTGTGTGTTTGTTTGGTGTGATGCTGTGTATGAGCGTGGGGTCGTGGCGACCATCCTGCTCTCCTGCTCTCCATGGCCTAGGACTTCCTACAGGTGTCCTTCCTGCTCGGCTGCTGGAAGTACCTGGTGTTTCAGGGCTGCTTTTCTCCCTGGAGCTGATCATTTCCCCAGTGGTTTCCAAATCCCCCCGAAGACAGGGGGCCCAGGAGGAAGCAGATCAGCAAAGTAGGGGCACCAGCCTGCTTAGACCCTGCGAGGCGGGAGTAAGGCAGGACAAGGACCCTGAGTATTTCCAGACTGTACAGGGCACCTGTAGCCAACTCGATCGCTCCTGAAAAATCAGGTTAAGCTACAATTTTAAAGCATGTGTTTTGTGTTTCAAGCTTAAAATTTAGATTTTTTTTTTTCAACATTGGGGTACTAAGTTTATTTTAAGTTAAATGTTCAGTCTGGCTCCTGCTTCAGAAGTTAAAATGCACACCTCGCTGTCTCAGAACATCAGATGGATGAATCCAATCTCTGCTGTTAATTTTCATCAAATTTTCCGTTAATTCTGCCCACTTCCCTTGCTGTTTTTCTGGTTAGAAAAGTGAATTTTCCTTGGACCGGGTGAGATGTATCTGCTCTTTTTTGTTTTCGTATTTTAAGTCGGGTGGTCTGGTGGCTGACAGGTGGTGCATGTGGAAAAGAATGGGAACATTAGCTGTCGCTAATGATGATACTCTTTGTTTAGTGACTTCAGATGAGAGCAATAAAACGTGGGGGAGGAACGCAACCTTTCAGCAAGGAGAATTTGAAGATGTTGGAAGGAATTTCAAGAGAAAGGGTTGTACGTGGGGACCAAACTCAGTTCAAATGCAAGAAAGAACCGATGTCAGAGAGAGGTAGGTGTGTGGAGCCTGCAGGGTTTGGGGTGCACTCTGAGGGCTGTGCGGCGGGGCCAGCCCAGGCTGTTGGCTGGACTCAGCTTCCAGAAAGCAGCCAGCACGAGAGCCACTAGCTTTAAGTGAAGTCTCAGTTCAGTGGCTAAAAGTTCCTGACCTATTTCTGTCTCGTTTCAAGGTTTGTGTACTTAGTTAGCTTTTGTTCAAAGCTCAAGGGTGAAACGCACTTCCCCTGCACCTTTGAAGCTTTGGCTGAAGTTCGGTACCCAAACCTGGTGTGTCCTATGGTCCTGTTACGTGACACGCAGTCTGTCTCTTGCAGGATCAGGCCTCTCTCAGATGGAAACAGCCCTTGGTCGTTTCACTTAATAAAAAGTCAGAAATCCACGCCGTTGGCTTCGTTATTTGCGGACCAGCCAGGTAATGGTATTGCCGGGAGTGGTTAGCTTGGGTTTTGACTCCACGGGGAGGCTTTTCCCACCCAGTCCTTATGAAGAAGTCAGTAGGTTCAGATGGAATTTGGGGAATTTATAATTCTTGATCTTTATGGGAAAATTCGCTGCCACACTTGTCTACATAGACCCAATCAATTTAGGATAGGAGGTAGCAAAATGAACATGTTGTTCTGACAGTTCTGTTGAGAGGAAGGGCTGACGTGAAACTGAAGAGAGATGGGAATCATTGGAAAACCTCAAGGGCGCCAGTTAGCCAGTGGGCCCCGCACTTGACAGTGTCAGGAGGCTCAAGGTTTTGAGTGTGATGGAGACATGATCAGTGTTTCTCCGTTGTCTTCCGGGCGATTTGTGGGCTCATTTCCCATGTCCATTCCTCTTCCTGGAGGGTTCTGCATCCAGGTGGGGCGAGGGAAGCTGTGCTGGAGGCAGGGCCTCCAGTGGAGGAGAGGAGGACACCTGGATCCCGGGTGGTCCTGCTTATAAAGCACACTGCAGGTGCCGGAGGAGGAGGTGCTGGAGAAGCTAGAGGCTGTGTCATGGACGCTTCAGGAGCCTAGTGGCAGGGTTTCCATTGCATCAGCCGCTGGTGAACACATGTGTGGGAGCAGTTCTAGCCTCCTCTGCAGCTAGTGTAAGTTCTGGGGACCTCCAGGCTCCCTGGCCTTCGGGGGTGTCATCACCTACCGCCCACTCTTTGACTCGGCCTGTCTCAGCCCAGACTACTGGTTCCACCCCCAGGACTCTGCTTCACTGGTCTGGGATGGGCCAGGAATTTGCCTGTCCTCAATTCCCAGGGGCTGCTGGGGTCCAGGGGACACGTTGAGAACCATTGGCCTCTATGTGACGCTCTTTATTATTATTAATTTTATTTTTATTTGTTATTTATAGATACACCTGACAATAGGGTGTATTTTGACATATTGTGCACACATAGAATAGGTGGACGTTGTTCCAAGTATGGTCCCATTATTGTGGTTGTGTATGTTGTGGAGTTCCACTGGTCATGTTTTCATACATAAGGAGACCAAAGATGTGTGATCCATGTTCTTTTTTCTGTTCCCATCCCTTCTCCCTTCCCTTCATTCCCTTTGTCTAGTCCAATGAACTTCTCATCTTCCCCTCGTTGTGAGTTGGCATCCACATATCAGAGAATAGTCTCCCTGTGGTTTGAGGGCCTCGCTTATTTTATGATAGTCTCCAGTACCATCCAATTACGGGCCAATGCCATAATTTCATTCTTGATGGCTGATTAATAGTCCAGTGTGTATGAATGTCACATTTTCTTTATCCATTCATCTGCTGTAGGGCACCTAGGTTGGTTCCATGGCTTGGCTCTTGTGAGCTGAGCTGCTGTAAATGGTCTTGCCCACAAGATGTATTGTAGAGGCGGGTCTTCATGCTTATACGGGGCATGACACAGAGTGGGCGGTAGGTGATGACACCCCTGAAGGCCAGGGAGCCTGGAGGGCCCCAGAACTTACACTTGCTGCAGAGGAGGCTAGAACTGCTACCACACATGTGCTCACATGTGACTAGCATTCTGCGTGTGCACATGTGTGCATTTTGTAGCTCCGAGACTTTCTTTCCAGGATGGTGTCTGTCAGGAAGCTGAGGAGGGAGGCTTTCTGGAGGGTAGGGGAACAGCAGGGGCTTTCCTTCTGTCCCATCTTTGGAGAGCTGAACTGCAGGACTTGGAGTCTGTCTTCAGAGTGCTAGATGGGTCCCTGCCCTCCGGAAGGACTCCATGTGCATTGGGTTAGGATGTTTACCGGGAGGTTCGAGCTGTGCTTTACATCACAGTTTCACTGGTCTCTGCTGCAAGACTGTGCCACATTGTCAGTGTTTGTGCTTTTGTTTAGGGTCCTGTGAGGAGCCAGCCCCTTCCCCTGGCGGGTCCGAACGCAGAAGACCAAAGCCAGTGAAGGTGCCCGGACAGGCCTGTGTTGACCTGCCTCTTGGGAAAGATGGTCAGAAAGAGAAGCTCGTGGAGGCTGAGGGCCAAGAGGAGGGCCCCCCGGCCAGCCCTGCCACGGGCTCCTCTCGGGTGACACCTATGGCCAGCCTGCCTGGACCACCCCAGAGAAGGAAAACAGACACGGCCTTGTACAGGTGCACGGCCCTGCTGGCCTCGGTGGCTTTGGGGCTGGATGTCAGGGACCTTGGCAGAGTGCAGGCTGCTGAAGAACTGCTGCCCAGGGAGGAGAAGAAGAAGCGAGAGGGGCCCCTGCAGTGGGCCACCAGGTCCCGCGCGAGTGTCAGCCCACCCCCCAGGCTGCCGAGCCCCTCCGACCCACCAACAGGCACTCCAGGCCCTCCCTCTATGCCCTCTCCGGCCACCAGGTGCTGGCTGCAGACAGATAGCTGTGAGCCACCCGAGAGCAGCACACGCGTGCCTGGGGACCCCGAGGTGCCTACTCCGGATTTCTCTCCATCGACTCCGGGCTGCAGCTGTGTGCCTAGTCCCATGCCAAGGGCTGAGGCTGGTCACACTGTGCTGCATGGCCCTTTTCCTTCCCTCCAGGAGCAGACATGTGGGGACATTCCTTGTTCCCCAGAAGACAGAGCACAGCGCAGCCGACGACCTGCGTCTGGGGAGAGAGCTTCTCAGACCCCAAGTAGGTTGCCTTAGATGGGGACCAAGAGTAAAGCTCCATGGAGAGGTGGCACTATCTGCTGTACTCTTTCCCTGGAGATTGCATTTAGTAATTGACTGCTGTTTACGTGGACCTCTACCTTTGTCCTTCTCTTACATTTAATTTACTCTAACCAGTTTGGGTTCTGGGGAGGTGTCCTTAAATTCAGTGACCAAGGACAGAGCATGGGCAGGGAAGGCGAGCTGCTGGAGTTATTGAAGATGGCAGCTGGGGGCGCAGCGGGGCCAGAGTTGGTGGCAGTTGCCGCGTCCTGCGTCGGGGCTACCCTGCTCCGTTCCTGCTGGGGGGAGGGTGGCGGGCACCTGTGTGTGCTAGGCTGCATGACGAGGCGCAGGCCGTGGGCACACCCAGGAGGCCACATGCCCACTGTGGCTGGGTTGGCCCTGCAGAGCTGCCTCCTGCTGCACACGCTGACTTTGCCCAGTGCTCCCACACGGCTGCCACCACCCAGGAGTCCTTGTCCTTCCTCCTTCCCGGCCCAGGACACTAGTCACGTGGGTTGGGGGCCCACCTTGGTGGCCTTGTTGTGACTTCATCACCTCTGTAGAAACCCTGTCCACCTGGCCCTGAGGTCCTCAGAGTTGGGTCTGCAGTGTGAGGATTTTAGGGGACGTTCTGCTGTGCAGCAGGGCACCCAATGACACACAGTGCACCACAGGCTGCCGTGAGGCCCGTGCCCAGGTGTGGACGCTGCCGAAGGAAAGTCGATTTCCACAGGTTTTCCTGGTCCATTGAACAAGGTGCAGAGGTGTCCCCTGACATCACAGTAGCACTTGCAGATGACAAAGCCTCTGACCCAAGTGGCTTCACCTTGAGGGGACTCTGTGGACATGACATCAGCACAGAGGCAAGGGGTCAAAACTTGTGGGAAAGCAGTGGTGCCTGGGACCCTGTAGCCACCAGGGATTCCAGCCCTGGGTCCCCTGCTGCACTGTGCCTGCCCCCTATCCTGTCCATCTGTGAAACTTGACCAGTGCTCACATGATCAGATGGTGCAGGTTTGAGCAGAGGGGCCATCCCCTCTGAGACCCCTTGGGGTGGTCACTCTCCAGTACTGACCTTTGAGGACACTGGTTACTTGGGAAGAGCAGGTAACTTGGAGGCATAGGACTGAGGCTCAAGGTTCAGTTACGTGTCTGTATGTGGTAGCCGTGATCCTGGGAAAACCGTGGCCCACGTCCTCGTTTGGAAGCTTTCAAGATCCCGTAGTGTCAGTTAGTGCAGAAACTGGACTCAAGCTTGCTGTGTGAAAGTGGGCAAGTCACCTGACCATCCTGGGTCTGCTTTCTTTCAGTCAAATGGGACTGATTATTGTTCATCAGATCAGGTGAATTGATCTGTGAGTCCGTGGGTATTGGTCTTCTATGGTTGCACAAGTCAGAATCCCAGCACAGTGATCCTATGAGAAGTTATCCTTGGTCTTGCTGGATGCCAGTCACCTGGTGCTTCAGTACCAACAAGAGAAGTTGTGGGGGGTGGTGTCTGGGGTTGTGGCTCAGCGGTAGAGCACTTGCCTTGCACGTGCGCGACCCTGGGTTTGATCCTCAGCACCATAGAGATATATAAGTGAAATAAAAGTATTGTGTCCAACTACAACTAAAAACTAAATATTAAAAAAAAAAAAAAAAGTGGGACCTGACCACCTTCGTATTCTTGTCAGTTTTTCCAAATCCCAACCTAAAACTGAAGTTTAACGATGTCACCCATCGTTTCTGAATGTCCCACATTTATTTTAGTCTCCTGCATTTTGAAATCCACCCTGTTCAGAAACGCGGTGGCAGCGGCCGCTGGCCAGAGCGCCTCAGGGTTCTTTTGCTCCCTGACACACGGGATTTCCATGCGTTGGTGCTCTTCCTAATCTTGGGGTACTTTATCCCCGAAAGGAATTGCATCCTGACGTGTGGAGGGTCTGTGTGCTGCTGTCTGCTCTTGGTTGTGCTGAAGCTCCTGGTGAGGGGTCTTACTTGGGAAGAGCAGGTAACTTGGAGGCACAGGACTGAGGCTCGGGCTGGGGATGTGGCTCAAGCGGTAGCACGCTCGCCTGGCATGCGTGTGGCCCGGGTTCGATCCTCAGCACCACATACAAACAAAGATGTTGTGTCTGCCCAGAACTAAAAAATAAATATTAAAAAATTCTCTCTCTCTCTCCTCTCTCACTCTCTCTTAAAAAAAAAAAAAAAAAACTGAGGCTCAAGGTTCAGTTACGCGTCTGCTTTTGGCAGCTGTGATTTCTTTGAGCGTGGCTGTCTCTGTCTTTCTAATCGCCTGTGTCTTGGCTCTCCTCATCGGCAGGTGCTCCCGGGGCCTCTGAACTGCCACCTCTAGCCTCCCCTGGCCCTGCTTGCGACTCACCAAGCGAAGTCCCTCCTGAGCAGCACCCAGCTGTCATGGTCATGCCTCTGCCGCCCCCTGCTTCCTCAAGAAGCCCATCTGATGTGCCACAGGCCGTCCCACAGAGGTCAGCGTTCCTTCCTGTGTGGGTGGCTGATGGTGGCCACACAGGACCAGGCCCCACCTGCCTTCTTGGTGCCCAGGACAGAACTAGGTTCCAGGCACCATCCTTGCTGGACACTGATATGGAAGGGCCGACCAGGGAGGGCGTGGTGCCCTTGTGCGGTATGCAGAGCGTGGCTTGCCCGCCGGCCGTCTGCGCCCTGGAGAGGAAGTTTCTGACCTAGTGCCACTGCTGTTCTGGCGTTTGCCCCAAGACCCCGTCTACACCTTTGTGTTGTGTCCAGCTGCTGTCCTCGAAGCTGTGGCCTGGATACTCCGTGACGGGATCACAGCTGGTGCTCGAGTGAGGCTGGCCTGTGGACGATCCTCTGCGGCGGCCTCTGCCCTCTTCGGCAGCTGTGGATGGGTATCCAGGAGGAGCGACCTTTTCATTCTCCAGTGGAGTGTTGAAAATGCCAGTCACACATGCCCACTGTGCTCACAGATGTTACCTGTCATAAACATTCACGTCACAGGGCTCCACGTTTCTCTGTTAGCCCAGGGTCATCCCAGCCCAAGTACCCTAACCCCTGCCAACACAGAAGGGATGGTGGTGCTGGAATGTGAGCCCTGTGTCCTCACTCTACCTGTGCTTACATGTATGATCTTACAGTCATAAAATTGACCACCGGGTTACGGGGACAGGAGTGGCTCAGCAGGAGCTCATGGATTTGCCTAAGTTTCTCATCTCTTCTGTCCCTGGATTGTCATATAGAAGACAGTAGATATTAAAGTCTTTTCATACGATGAAAAACTAAACTGTAGACATTGCTTGGTATTTCATTTTAAATTGTGCTTCAGTCAAGGGACAACCTTGCAGGGGCTCATCGGCCCCGGGGTAGGGCCAATGGAGGAAGCTAGGAGCTCCATTCAAAGCCACTCTGCAGGAAAATTTGAAGCCATTATTTCTTCAAATATTTTTCCCAGCTACGTTTTCTCTCTCACATTTTGGAGTGCATACTGGGCCCAACATTTCTCGGGAACTGTCTTGCTGTTCATTCATTCTTTTCCCATAATCTCTATTGATCTTTCTTCCCCCTGGAGACAGGTCTCACTACATTGCCCAGGCTGGCTTTGAATTCCTGGGCACACAAGTCGTCCATCCAGCTCTCTGATGCTTCTTTAGTTCAAATTTACTGTCCAGCCCTGTGGTCAGATATTCATTTTGACTAGTCTGTTTTCTACTCCGTGACTTTATTTTCCATAATGTTTACCTCTCTGTTGATGTTCTTTATTTGATGAGGTGGCAACATCTGCCTCCCTTTGCTTCTTTAAAAACATTTTCCTTTCGTTCACAGAACACTTTTACAATAGCAGTCTCAAAGGCTTTGTGAAGCCTGAAAGTTTGGTCCTTTCTCAGGCCATTTCTGTTTCTCTGGCGCATGCGTCATGTTTCCCTGTTTCTTTGTGTTTCGTGCTTTTTGTTGGAATCTGGATATTTAAGGTGCTGTGTTGTGGCAGCTGTGCACACTGGTGTCCCTCACCACCCCACCTCCAGGTCTCATTTTGCTGTATCTGCTTGTTTGTTGAGCTATCTACTAGTCTGCCAAGTTGGAGCCTGTTTCCTCCAAGGTGTGAGGCCTTTGTGTCAGTAGGCTCTGACTTGGCCAGGCACACTAGGTCTGGGATGACATGGTGCAATGTGGCTCTTCTTTCCTGGTCTTGCTATGTTGCCCAGGTTGGCCTTGAGCTCTGTGCTCAAGTGATTCTCCTGCCTCAGGCTGGCGAGTAGCTGAGACCACAGGTGCATGCCATCACACCTGGCTCTCTGCTTCTAGTTCACATTTACCCTCAAGCCCCTCCAGTCAAGTTCATCTGTTAATCAGTGTGCTCCCTTGGCCTCATACCCCTAGTCAGCCTCTAATAGTGCTGGGTAATTGTCCTGTTATTTTCATTATGTCCTGGGGCACAAGGTACACACAGCCTGTTCCAGTTCATTTCAAGCCGATGTAGTTTGGGGGCCAGGCTTTCAGGCTTCTTCGGACCTAGGAGGACCCTGCTGAGCTGTCCCTGCTGATACTGCCTGATAAGCCCACAGGCCCGGTCTTGCTTCAGTGTAGAGGAGCCCTAGTCTTGAGAGTGCTCATAGGCTGGACCGTCACATGTGGTTTCAGATAAGATCAGTTCCTTCAGTCCGAGCTTTGGAGCTCTCTGTTCCCCAATGGGCCTTTTTTTTTTTTTTTTTTTGAGTCATACACTGGGTGCTTGACCAGCAGCTACTCTATTCTTGGCTTCTTACAGAGTGGCTCCCCTACTCTGCAAGTGGCTCCTGGGGAAGCATGGACCTGGTATTGCACTGGTAGGCCTCCTGACACTGAGTGGGAGGGAGGGAGCCTTTGACCACTGGTCACACTCACCAGGAGTTTTGTTTCTGCTTGTGCCCCCACTGAAGTGCCACCTCCTGTGACCAGGTGCTGAGATGAGGGGGAGTTCTGACTTTTGTCCTGGAGTAGAGTTCCCACCAAACAGAGCTAAGTGGGGAACAGGGAAGGGAGCAGGCCACAGCCCCAATGTGAGGCTCTCATTCTCTCAGCAAGATAGTCAATTTTTGGGGAAAAAAAAAAGATTTCTTTGGGGCTGAGGCAGTAGCTGATGGGCAGAGCACTTGCCTAGAACAAGTGAGACACTGGGTTCCATCCTCAGCACCACATAGAAATCAAACAAAATAAAAGCATGCAGTCCATCTACAACTACAAAAAATATATATATTTTTAAAAAAAGAATTCTTCATTTGCTGAATGCTCCAAAGACAGTTTCTAGAGGTCAGCATGTCCCCCAGAGAGCTTTTACTTGCTTCCCAGGGAAGATGGCGCCCCGCACACAGCCATTTCATGCATTGCTCCTGTCTTGCCAGGCTTGCATTAGCTTCTTTTTGAAACTTTGTCTTCTGTTGGCTCAGGAAGCACCACACACCTGATCCATGTTTTTAAATTTTTATTCCATGGCTGTCGATGCATTTCCCTGCCCAGCCCGTGTTTCTCCATGTGTTTCTCCCACTGCAGACTCTTTGCCTCCTTGTGGGTGGCAAGGGACAACTCAACCTGGACACTGCTGAGATGAAACTCCTCCCCTTGTCCTTAGTAAGAGCTACTGGCTCCTAGCGGCCAGAGGTTGGATGAGCCGTTGTCGGGGGCAACATCGAGAGCCCTGGGTGTCCTAAGGGCCGTTCCATAACCACCTGTGGAATGATTAAGTGAATTATTCTTATTTCACAAATGAAGAGACTCCATCTCAGAAAGATCAGATAAAGTGCTGGATTTGAATCCGGCCTGCTTCTAACCCTCTAATCTGTTTTAATCCTTTTTCTTTTTGATTTTTTTCTTAGTTATATTTGAACACAAAGCCTTTATTTTGTTTATTTTTATGTGGTGCTGAGGATCGAACCCAGAGCCAGGCGAGCACTCTTCTGCTGAGCCACAACCCCAGCCCTGTTTAAATCATTTTAAAGCACAGAGAAAAAAGTTTGCTAGATATAAATTGGTTTTCAATAAATGCTATTGCTAATGTGCTCATTAAAGAACAGTTAGGAAAATAGTGTAGACTACAACTGGGATGTGGAGGACTTTGAGTACCAGCCTAAGCTTTGGCACTGTATTTTGTATTAAAAAGGAGCAAATACAGGTTTTAATTTGGAGTGCCTATTAGGTTCTCCAGCAAACAGAACAAAATGAGATACGTTTCTATAGAGGAGGTACCTAGGAAACTGGCTCAGGCGACTGTGAAAGTGCCAGGAGTGAGGTTGGCAGGGCGGGCAGTTGGGCTGTAGATCCAGGGAGGAGCGGATATCTCAGCTCCAGTCCAAAGGCCTTGTGGTCAGGTGCAGTAGTACACACCTGTAATCCCAACAGCTCAGGAGGCTGAGGCAGGAGGATCATGAGTTCAAAGCCAGCCTCCACAACTTACCAAGGCCCTGTCTCAGTGAAATAGAAAAGGGCTGGGGATATAGCTCAGTGGTTAAGTGCCCCTGGGTTCAACCCCTGGTACAAGGGGGAAAAATAAAAGGGTCATGTGGAGACCTTGAAGTCCAAGGTCAAGGTGTCAGCAGGGTTGATTCCTCTCGAGGCCTCTTTTCAGCTTGCAAATTCTCCCTGTGTCCCTGCCTGACCTCTCTGTGTGTCTGTGTCCAAATGTCCTCACCTTCCTGGACATCAGCATGCCAAATGAGAGTCTGCTGTGGCCTTTCTTTAGCTTGCTCACCTCTGTAAAGAACCCTCTCTAGCCACAGTTACATCCTGAGGTGCTTGGGGTCACCCCTGTGCATCTGCTGTCAGGGCACAAGAGGGCTGTGCTCAACTTGGCAGGGATTGTGGAGCAGATCAGAGAGGGAGGAGGATGGTCCCTGAGGATAGTATGCTGCCAGCTGTTACAGCAGGAAGGTAGGGAAGGGGCATCTACAAGAGGACACCACAGAGGGAAAGAGCAGGGCTCTCCATTGGGAGACCATGGCCACACCAGGAAGTGAAATGCAGAGGTGGCGGGTGCGAGGGAGAGCCAGGACCTGGCTTTGGAAGGCTTTTGGGGGTTCTGAGGGATGTCAGATTCCAGAGACATCCACAGGATCTCTAAGAAAAAGTAAGACGAGCCGGAGGGCGGGTGTGCAGAGGGGAGGGACAAGTGGCCCAGGGGAAGACCCAGGGAGCGGAAGGCAGGGACAATCACTCGGCACTTCCCACCCCAGGTAAGCACCTCTGAGTGGCCATTTTCAAAGCCATGGGCTCTCATTGCCTCTAACCAGATAAGGGAAGGGAATCCAACGTTCATGCATTTTACTAACAGCCGTGGCCATGCTGAGTGGCACCTGCCTACAGAACGCAGGCAGGCGACATCAACCCAGAACTGTGACCCAGGCCACATCACGGCACCTCCCTGCTGTGCTTTCCTACAATGTGAGGAGAGCACAGGGCAAACACCATGTTTGAAGCCACCCATTCCTAAAACCAGAGAGTAGGAATGATGTGTTTGATGCTGTCCCCCTGGCCATGCTGACTGGTCTGCAGGGCCCGGCAGCCGCCTGGCCTCTTGCTGCTCCTGCAGATGGCCAGGAGACCCCCGCCAGTGGTGCCCTTCTCCTCCTGGTTTGGGCCCAGCCCAGCAGGATTGGCTTGAGCAGGGAGAGCCCTGTGGCACGGCTATAGGTAGAGCCAAAGTCCAGGCTCTTGACAAGGCCCCTCAGGCACAACCCTCTTACCTCAGAGGTAGAGGAATCGTGAACACTTCTGATGTGTCTTTCCAAATGCTTCCTCTCTGTGCATCAGGCAAGGTTTCCACAGGAAACCCACATGGACCTTCCCTGCCTGATTCTGTATGGAAATGTATTACTTATTTGAAAAAGAGATTCTAGGATAGCCCAAAATGTGACCTGGTGACCCTTGGCTGTGTCAGAACCTAGGGACAGTTAAAGGGATCTGTCCTGTTGCTTAACAGGTATTAAACTTTTAGTAGGCCACGCCCTCTTCTCTAAACAGGCATTCTTAGGTGCGATGGTTCCAGCCCTGGAGGTGGGAATAACCCACCCTCATCCTCCACCTGCTCTGCACTCTGCCTGCTCCAGAACGGGAGGCCAAGGGACCGTTTCCGCTGGGCTTCCACGTACTGGCCACAAGATGGCGCCATGTGCACGTCATTTCACATGCAGAGGCCTCAGAAAGATTGTAAAATCAGGCAAATTTCACACCTTGGAAGAAAAGGTAAAAACGGTAGATGTGATTTGGGAAGAGGAGGGGAAACAGAAAATGTTTTTTCTATAATGGTCACACAGCAACAA